GTGTGTGTGTGTGTGTGTGTGTGTGTGTGTGTGTGTGTGTGTGTGTGTGTGTGTGTGTGTGTGTGTGTGTGTGCACTGCCTCAGCTCGAGGCGTCCATGTGCTCCTTCCTCTCGTTAGCCAAACCAAACCCTGGAGACGCTGCTGTTTCAGCCAACACAATTCCATGCCCAGACTCTTCCGCCTCCAGCTTTATCTCAGCCTATCTTTCCCTTTCCTGTTTGATTCCCGAACCCTGTGAGACATCGCTGGCTAAAACTGTGAAAACAGTGCTGCACCCAACTGCTAACACCTCTAAATACTGTATGTGCTCTCCAGCCCTTTCTGATGGACATGTTCGCAATGGCAAATCTGTAAGAAGTAGAGAAACGTGTTTTGTGATTTTTCTTAAAATATAGGTTCATGTAACAGGAGCACAAGTAGAACAGGATAATTAAGTCCGTCAGTCAAGGAATTTAGTTAGTCCTCTCAATATTTAGCTTTGAATGTTTGTGTTTGGATGTATAATCTGTGTGTAAATGTTACCCTTCCTTGTGTGTCTCTGCCTGTTTAGTTACTTTCTGGTGATGCCTCATGTTGTGTCATTTCATATTTCATTTTGATCTTCACTGGCTATTTCACATGCGTGTCTTTGCCGATCACTTCACTTCCTCTTGTCTCCTGCTTCTTTGTTGCACCTTCACATGTCACACCTGTGTCTCTGTGTTGTTCAGTTCAGTACTATTTGTTCTTGACATGTTCTGAGCTTTTACATATATTTACTGCCTTACACTCTTGTAGTTTTCTTGTGCAAAACTGAAATACAGATGCCTGTTGACTGCAGGCTCTGGACAATATAAAAGAACATGGAGTAATAATGTATTGAATTCAACAAGCTTCAATAAGACATGTAAAGATCTGGTTGTTATAATGACCATGCAGTCTGTACCAGGGCCCCAGAGCCTGAAGATCCCAACATTTACAATGTTAGCCGGTTTCTGATCATTGTGAATTTGAGAGGGAATATATGCATCACTCAAGTCCAAATGCATAAGGTGACTCTGGCAATATCTTGTTTTGTCTCAAATACACTGCTCAAAGAAATGAAGGGAACACTTAATCATCACAGTATAACAGTAAGTCAGGTACATTTCAGGGATATCAATCTGTCCATTTAGGAAGCACAAGTGATAATGTATCAGTTTCACCTGCTTTGGTGCAAATTAACAGGTGCAATGGAGAAGCAAAATCAAGACAACCCCTAAAAAGGGAATGGTTTTGCATGTGCTGGCCACAGACAGCTGCTCTCTCTTTATCCTTCCTGACCAATTCTTCTTAAGTTTTGMGTTCTGCCAGTGTCCTTGTCACTGAGGTGGTACCTGCAGCCTGATCAGGTTGCACAGGTAGTCCGGCTCCTCCYGGYAGGCACATCCATGCGTGCGGTCACAAGAAGGTTTGCTGTGTCTCCCAGCACAGTCTCAAGAGCAAAGAGGAAATACCAGGAGACCATCAGCTACACGAGGAGAGCTGGACAGAGCTATAGAAGGGCATCAACCCAGCGGCAGGACCAGTATCTGACATTAGTAAGGATTTTCAACTTGAATAATTTGATTTTCAACTTGAATAATTGATTTAAGTGTTCCCTTCCTTTGTTTGAGCAGTGTATATGCCGAATTACATGCTTAGAAAAGTCTTGTGCCTGTGGTCCGTGGGAATTTAATAACCAGGCTCATGAATGGGACCATTTTACAACCTTGACCACCAACCTGAGCTCACCAGAACATCACCTCATACCTGTCTGTTTCAGTGTGTCACTCATGTTGGACGGACACAAACAGAGACAAAGACTAATAAGTGTGGATGTACTAACAGACAGAGAAGGGATTGTTCCAAAGTCATAACTAACTAGTTAAATGCTCTCAGTTCATAAACACATTTAGTTTAAGGACAATTTGTGTGTGTGTATTTATGCAAACAAAGTGTGGATTCATTAGGAGCCACACCTCAGTCCTGTCACAACACACCCACATAAGCATTGCATTTACAGGCTGCTCAGTCACATACTCTAACTGCAGTCACGTGTGCTGTGGCTGACAACAACAAAAAGTACAATAAAATGATGAGTTTGATAACATCTGGAGGTTTTACTGTCAAGAACAATGGCCACTTTACACCTGCAGAGCTTGTTCTATATTTACAAAGGTGTTTTAAACTAGGAGAATGTGTATAGATCTGTCCAGAGAGAGCTAGATGTACAGAAAAGTGTCCGTCTCTGTCTTTAGAGATCCTATTTCAAGTTTGTTTCACATTCCGTCTGGGAAACCTCAACACTCAGCAGTTGAATGATGATCCAAATGAAAAGAAGATACCACTTTTGAAAAATGAAGGTAGAAGAAGGATACGTGTGGGAAAATACTTGCAGAATAGTCCCTTGAGGTTTTACCTTTGTCGTCTGCCAGAGAGATGTTAGTGAATGTCCCATCATCCTCGTCTACAGCAGCCTCCATGTTCTGACTCTCCTTGTCTTCCCCCAGCTTGGTTTCCTTCTCTCTTTTTTTAACCTCCCAGAGTCGATTAGTCGTGTTTCTATTTTCTTGCCTTTGCTACTTTCCCTCTTGCTTTGTTTAAACTTTACCCTTGCTCCAAGGCTCTGTCTCTCCTCTCATCTCTTTGGCCCGCCTCCTCACAAACCTGCTGCCTGAATAATTTACATTGTCACGTTTACCTGCCCTACCTGTCTGGTGCCTCAGGTTATTGAGTCGTCATGAGAATTGGTCACCATGGTGACAGCTGGACCAAAACATTAGAAGGACTGCCCCAGCAGAAAAACTGTCAGGGGTCAAAGTTCACCCTCCAGTAGAGTCACGAGAGCCTTAAAGACACAAACACACACACACACACACTGTAGTCTGATGATCAAACCAAAAGGCTTCTGTGCAGAGTTGACCTACAGTGACTGTGAGTGAAAAACTGCTTTCATTGTTTGTGTGAGAGCAGGCTGCACTCTGGTGATTACTGTTGAACACTGCAGACAAAGAAATAGTCTATTTACCAACTAGAATGGCGTTCAGTCAAAACATACCTTCACCTTCAACAGTCCCTTTATTAAGCAACATTTAAATTCCCTAGATGTGGATTTCTGTTTGGATCTGCACCACATTACACACGCTCAGAAAAATCTGTCCCCTAAATCATGTCTGATTAAGATCCATGAATTATTCATTGATGAAAATGTTGAAAAACGATCTGACCTCATGACCCATTTGACCCAAAACCTCTGCTAGGACCCACTTAAGTGTTTCCTAAATGTTTGGCCCGATGACAGCAGGAGATAAACTGTTAATAACCAGTTATAAAATGAAATAACTTACCCTCTCATGATGTGACGATGCTGTGGTGAAGGTCTGGATAGGTTGAGTGATGAAAACTTCAATAGGTTTGAAGCATGATTATGATCACAGTTAAAAAACAAATGTATGAATCACAGCAGATGTGTTGTTATGGTCTGAGCTTGTGTATCTGTGTCTCTCTGGTTGTGTTCATGGATTCATGTACGTGTTTGCTCACACCACAGGTTTAATCTTATGTGATTGTCTGTGCTTATGGTCAGTTGTGTGTCTGTGTGTTTGCACAGGATTCACCTGCCTCATAAACACAGGGAACCAACATTTATGAGAACAATATCACAGGGAAGGGACCAACCTTCCCTCTGCAGGCCGACCCATGGAGCAGTACTGCTGATCTCAGATCGGTTTTACAATGGCTGACACAATATGAAGAACCACAGTGACGGCTAAAAGTGGCAGGCAACACTGCAGCTGCAGTTTCGCCCTAAATACTCGATTAATGCTACAAGGCAAGTTGAGGACTAAAGTTCAAAGTTTACAGGCCGGTGGAGGATGAAGTTTCAACGTTAGAGTGAAGTTTAGAGTGAAACGGTTAGGTGTGTGTGTGTGTGTGTGTGTGTGTGTGTGTGTGTGTGTGTGTGTGTGTGAGAGAGACACCATGTGCCATAGGTGTTAGAACCGAACCCCTGCCACTGAGTGACAATCAAACAAACACACACACACACTAATAAAACTTGACTCCGGCAAAAATGATGAAACGATGTGTATGTGTTACCCTTGTTCAGATATTTTTGTGAGGACCACTTGAGCCCACAGTGAAGACATGGTGAGAGAGTGAGGACATTTTGGCCGGTACTCACTTTCAGACCCACTTTTAATGGACTGTTTTAGGGTTAAGACTTGTCTCATGTGCGAATAGTGCCCCTTGTTTATAGAGTATCTCTGTGTTTGTGTGGACCTGAGCACTTTGTTTTTGTATATGTGTATATATACAGGGCAAAGATGCAGGCAACTATCAAAAGAGAAGTCGGTTGCGATAATGTGTGTGTGTGTGTGTGTGTGGATTCTATGAAAACGGGGGGGAAACATCATGACAACTGAGACTGACTCCTGATTGGTTGAGTGTGTGGCCCCAAATACAGAAGATGGAAGGAATTTCTGGATAGTGGGAGGAAGTAGAGACTCGCTGGCCATATTTGGTCAGTGTTCCTCCTGAACGCTTGGTATGGTGAGGCAGAGGGTCTTCAGTTAGTTGCGATCTGCAACTTCACCACTAGATGCAATTAAGTCCTACCTCATGAGTGTGTGAATGATCATAACTGTATGGCATTTATCATTCACTGTTGGCTCTGGAATTAGCACTGGATTATAATGACCCTGTGTTTTATCAGTGACCATATGAAGCCAATCTACAGTATGAAGTTTTCTCTCTCACCTCTCAGCCGACACCACTTAAGCTGCTTTCAGACATGCACTGAGGTCCGGACATTTCCTGAAATTTTCCAGAGGGGCTGTTTATGAGAACAAAAATGTCAGAGTCAAATGCTCTGGACAGCCTTCTGAACTTTTCCTGTCAGCCCCCTCGTAAATTTTCACTGAGTGAATGGGTGTGTGATGATCTTTCTAACACGTGATATCTCAGGATGACAGAGGTGCCATACACAGCTGCTGACATGTCAACTTGGAAAGACAACAAGCTTTTGGTTTGGCTTTTACATGTCCTGCCCACAGGACCTGTCTACAACATGCTGTTTCCTGGCACAGTCCCCTGGCCTGAATGTCCCAAACATTTTCCTGTTGTTGTGTATGTCAATTTTCAATTTCAATTTTCAGTTGAGTAAACTTTATTGGCATGAAAATTACAATATCCCAAATCTGGGATTTTGTCCTCTCTGGGCAGCCAGTTCTGTCTGTGTCAGCTGGTTTCTATGGCTGGGCTGTGGTCACTGAGTCTGTACACAATCAAAGTCTCTCTCAGTTTCTCCTCAGTCACATATTTAACCACTGTACACTGTCTGTTTAGAGCCAGGTAACAAGTTTGCTCTCAGCTGTTGTGGTGGACATCCACTAGTTCATGTCCTTTTCTTTTTCTTTAGCTATAATATGGTTGGAGGGTTGGAGGAGCTGGCTGAGACCACTCCTCTCTATGTTCTCCTCTTGGCAGAGCAGAACTTTGTAATGGGTGGACTCTGAGGAAGCTATTGCACAAGTCAGTGTGCAGGTTTTCAATTGGGTGTTTGTCCCATTTCTCAATGTCTTGATTTATGAGAGGACCTCACACTTCACTACCATCAGAAGAATTGATTCAATTATCGATTTAAATATCTTGCGCCAGATTGTAACCGGTATATTTATGTTTGAAGACTTCTTTATAGCACAGAAAGCCCTTCTTCCCCTCTCTATGAGGTCATTAATGGCCAGATATTTCCTGTTGATGGGATTTTTAGTACAGATAAGTGTGGCTGTGTGTGTCTTCTATGTCAAAAGATGATGATCTGGATTTCCAAATCAACTGTCAGAGCCCAAGTCTGACAAAAAGTTTGCAGATGATCCAGTTGCTGTGGTAAAGCCCCCTTAGATGTTTTTAAACTGCACATTTATTATTTGTATATATTGATTTAATAATGTTAAAGTGGTCCTCACAGAAACATCTTTACGAGTGCACACACACACACACACACACACACACACACACACACACACATTGTTTCATAATTTTTGCCAGAGTCAAGTTTTATTAGTGTGTGTTTGTCAGTGGCCAGTGTTATGTTCTAACACCTGTGGCACATGGGCGCCAAGCCCCCCCCCCCCCCCCACACCTGAACGCTTCACTCTAAACTTCACTCTAACGTTGAAACTTCATCCTCCACCGGCCTGTAAACTTTGAACTTTAGTCCTCAACTTGCCTTGTAGCGTTAATCGAGTATTTAGGGCGAAACTGCAGCTGCAGTGTTGCCTGCCACATTTAGCCGTCACTGTGGTTCTTCATATTGTGTCGGCCATAGTAAAACTGATCTGAGATCAGCAGTACTGCTCCATGGGTCGGCCTGCAGAGGGAAGGTTGGTCCCTTCCCTGTGATATTGTTCTCATAAATGTTGGTTCCCTGTGTTTATGAGGCAGGTGAATCCTGTGCAAACACACAGGCACACAACTGACCATAAGCACAGACAATCACATAAGATTAAACCTGTGGTGTGAGCAAACACGTACATGAATCCATGAACACAACCACAGAGAGACACAGATACACAAGCTCAGACCATAACAACACATCTGCTGTGATTCATACATTTGTTTTTTAACTGTGATCATAATCATGCTTCAAACCTATTGAAGTTTTCCTCAACCTATCCAGACCTTCACCACAGCACCGTCACATCATGAGAGGGTAAGTTATTTCATTTTATAACTGGTTATTAACAGTTTATCTCCTGCTGTCATCGGGCCAAACATTTAGGAAACACTTAAGTGGGTCCTAGCAGAGGTTTTGGGTCAAATGGGTCATGAGGTCAATCAGATCAGATAGTTGTGAGATTTTTCAACATTTTCGTTGATGAATAATTCATGGATCTTAATGAAAAACATCAGACATGTTTAGGGGACAGATTTTTCTGAGAGTGTGCAATGTGGTGCAGATCCAAACAGAAGGAATTTAAATGTTGTTTCATAAAGGGACCATTGGGCCTCAGTGAGGGTATGTGATTGATTGAACGCCATTCTAGTTAGTAAATAGACTTTATTTCTAGGAGGCTGCGTTGGATCAAACTACTGTTTCCAGAGTCAAGATTATGTGATGTTTTTGCACTTTGAGGTAGAATTTATTTCTTCTACTTCCAATAATTTTTCCTGTTGTAATTTCTACATTTTGACCTGCAGCAGCTAGATAATATAGTAAAGCCACCAAATGATAAAAATGAGGATGTCGATTTCTAGAGTTTGTCTTTGTGCACAGTCACTGGACCATGACAGCAAACAGAGGTTTCTTCACTGCTGTGTTTGTCGTGCAGGCGACTCAGAGTTGGAACGTGATGGAGCCTCTGAGGCCTGTCGCTGTCTTTGTCTGCAGTGTTCAACAGTAACCACCAGAGTGCAGCCTGCTCCCACACAAACAATGACAGCAGTTTAATTCACAGTCACTGTAGGTCAACATCAGACTACTGTGTGTGTGTGTGTGTGTGTGTGTGTGTGTGTG